CATAATTCCTCAAAATTTCGGCAAATTCCTCCAGATAACCCATCACAAATTCCTCCAAATACCCCACCACGAACTTCTCCAAATACCCCACAAATTCCTCTAAAAAAAGAGAAAATTTTGAAACTTTTTGCATGTAAAGAAAAAGGTGAAAAGATCATTTTCCCAAAATTTAAAAGTTTTCCAATAGAAAACATCAACATGAAAAATCTTGGAAATCAACCTACAATAACTGAATTAGTTGAAAATACAGTCTCACACATTTCAAAGTTTTCCTGGAAAACTAATAAAGGGAACATTTTGAAACTTTTTGCATGTAAAAAGGAAAGTGAAAAGCTCATTTTTTCAAAATTCCAAATTTTTCTAGTGGAAAATAACAACATGAGGAATATTGGAAATCAACCTACAATAACTGAATTAATTGGAAATATAGTCTCACATATTTCAGAGTTTTCCTAGAAAACTAGTGAATGGAACATTTTAAAACTTCTTGCATGTAAAAAGGAAGGTGGAGAAGCTCATTTTCTCAAAATTTCAAATTTTTCTAGTGGAAAATAACAACATGAAGAATATTGGAAATAAACCTACAATAACTAAAATTATTTGAAAATACAGTCTCACATATTTCAAAGTTTTCCTAGAAAACTAGCGAAGGGAAAATTTTGAAACTTTTTCCATATAAAGATCGAGGAAGGTGAGAAGCTCATTTTCCCAAAATTTCAAAATTTTCCAGTGGAAAACAGCAACATAAAAAATCTTGGAAATCAACCTACAATAACTGAATTAGTTAAAAATACGTCTCACATATTTCAAAGTTTTCCTAGAAAACTAGTGAAGGAAAAATTTTGAAACTTTTTGCATGTAAAAAAGAAGGTAAGAAGCTTATTTTCCCAAAATTTCAAAATTTTCCAGTGGAAAACAGCAACATAAAAAATTTTGGAAATCAACCAACAATAACTGAATTAATTGAAAATATAGTCTCACATATTTCAGAGTTTTCCTGGAAAACTAGTGAACGGAAAATTTTGAAACTTTTTGCATGTAAAAAGGAAGATGAGAAGCTCATTTTCCCAAAATTTCAAAATTTTCCAGTGGAAAACAGCACCATGAAAAATCTTGGAAATCAACCTACAAAAACTAAATTAGTTAAAAATACAGTCTCACACATTTCAAATTTTTCCTGGAAAACTAGTAGAGGGAAAATTTTGAAACTTTTTACATGGAAAGAGGAAGGTGAAAAGCTCATTTTTCCAAATTTTCAAAATTTTCCAATGGAAAACAGCAACACGAAAAATCTTGGAAATCAACCTATAATAACTAAATTAATTAAAAATACAGTCTCACACATTTCAAAGTTTTCCTGGGAAACTAGTGGAGGGAAAATTTTGAAACTTTTTGCATGTAGAGAGAAAGGTAAGACGCTCATTTTCCCAAAATATCAAATTTTTCCAGTAGAAAACATCAACATGAAAAATCTTGGAAGTCAACCTACAAAAACTGAATTAGTTGAAAATACAGTCTCACACATTTCAGAGTTTTCCTGGAAAACTAATAAAGGGAAAATTTTGAAACTTTTTACATGGAAGGAGGAAGGTGAAAAGCTCATTTTTCCAAATTTTCAAAATTTTCCAATGGAAAACAGCAACACGAAAAATCTTGGAAATCAACCTATAATAACTAAATTAATTAAAAATACAGTCTCACACATTTCAAAGTTTTCCTGGGAAACTAGTGGAGGGAAAATTTTGAAACTTTTTGCATGTAGAGAGAAAGGTAAGACGCTCATTTTCCCAAAATATCAAATTTTTCCAGTAGAAAACATCAACATGAAAAATCTTGGAAGTCAACCTACAAAAACTGAATTAGTTGAAAATACAGTCTCACACATTTCAAAGTTTTCCTGGAAAACTAGCGGAGGGAAAATTTTGAAACTTTTTACATGGAAGGAGGAAGGTGAAAAGCTCATTTTTCCAAAATTTTTCAGTGGAAAACAACAACATGAAAAATCTTGGAAATCAAACTACAATAACTAAATTAATTGAAAATACAGTCTCACATATTTCAGAGTTTTCCTGGAAAACTAATAAAGGGAAAATTTTGAAACTTTTGCATGTAAAGAGAAAGGTGATATGCTCAGTTTCCCAACATTTCAAATATTTTTAGTAGAAAATAGCAACATGAAAAATCTTGGAAGTGAACCTACAAAAACTGAATTAGTTGAAAATACAGTCCCACATATTTCAAAGTTTTCCTGGAAAACAAGTGAAGGGAAAATTTTGAAACTTTTTGAATGTAAAGGGGAAAGTGAGAAGCTCATTTTCCCAAAATTTTCCAGTGGAAAACAGCAACATGAAAAATCTTGGAAATCAAACTACAATAACTAAATTAATTGAAAATACAGTCTCACATATTTCAGAGTTTTCCTGGAAAACTAATAAAGGGAAAATTTTGAAACTTTTTACATGGAAGGAGGAAGGTGAAAAGCTCATTTTTCCAAAATTTTCCAGTGGAAAACAGCAACATGAAAAATCTTGGAAATCAAACTACAATAACTAAATTAATTGAAAATACAGTCTCACATATTTCAGAGTTTTCCTGGAAAACTAATAAAGGGAAAATTTTGAAACTTTTGCATGTAAAGAGAAAGGTGATATGCTCAGTTTCCCAACATTTCAAATTTTTTCAGTAGAAAATAGCAACATGAAAAATCTTGGAAGTGAACCTACAAAAACTGAATTAGTTGAAAATACAGTCTCACATATTTCAAAGTTTTCCTGGAAAACTAATGAAGGGAAAATTTTGAAACTTTTTGAATGTAAAGGGGAAAGTGAGAAGCTCATTTTCCCAAAATTTTCCAGTGGAAAACAGCAACATGAAAAATCTTGGAAATCAACCTACAATAACTAAATTAATTGAAAATACAGTCTCACATATTTCAGAGTTTTCCTGGAAAACTAATAAAGGGAAAATTTTGAAACTTTTTACATGGAAGGAGGAAGGTGAAAAGCTCATTTTTCCCAAATTTTCCAGTGGGAAACAGCAACATGAAAAATCTTGGAAATCAAACTACAATAACTAAATTAATTGAAAATACAGTCTCACATATTTCAGAGTTTTCCTGGAAAACTAATAAAGGGAAAATTTTGAAACTTTTTACATGGAAGGAGGAAGGTGAAAAGCTCATTTTTCCCAAATTTTCCAGTGGGAAACAGCAACATGAAAAATCTTGGAAATCAAACTACAATAACTAAATTAATTGAAAATACAGTCTCACATATTTCAGAGTTTTCCTGGAAAACTAATAAAGGGAAAATTTTGAAACTTTTTACATGGAAGGAGGAAGGTGAAAAGCTCATTTTTCCCAAATTTTCCAGTGGGAAACAGCAACATGAAAAATCTTGGAAATCAAACTACAATAACTAAATTAATTGAAAATACAGTCTCACATATTTCAGAGTTTTCCTGGAAAACTAATAAAGGGAAAATTTTGAAACTTTTTACATGGAAGGAGGAAGGTGAAAAGCTCATTTTTCCCAAATTTTCCAGTGGGAAACAGCAACATGAAAAATCTTGGAAATCAAACTACAATAACTAAATTAATTGAAAATACAGTCTCACATATTTCAGAGTTTTCCTGGAAAACTAATACAGGGAAAATTCTGAAACTTTTTGCATGTAAAGAGGAAGGTGAGATGCTCAGTTTCCCAATATTTCAAATTTTTTCAGTAGAAAATAGCAACATGAAAAATCTTGGAAGTGAACCTACAAAAACTGAATTAGTTGAAAATACAGTCTCACATATTTCAAAGTTTTCCTGGAAAACTAGTGAAGGGAACATTTTGAAATTTTTTGCATGTAAAGAGGAAGGTGAGACGCTCATTTTTCCAAAATTTCAAATTTTTCCAGTAGAAAACAGCAACATGAAAAATCTTGTAAGTGAACCTACAAAAACTGAATTAGTTGAAGATACAGTCTCACACATTTCAAAGTTTTCCTGGAAAACTAGTGAAGGGAACATTTTGAAACTTTTTGCATGTAAAGAGGAAGGTGAGAAGATCATTTTTTCAAAATTTCAAATTTTTCTAGTGAAAAACGGTACCTAACATATATTCATTATTCTTTCGTATTTTTTAAAGTTGCCATTTTCCTTTAAATTCCTCATAATTTCCTCACAAATTCTCCCAAATTCCCCATAAATTCTTCCAAATTCTCTATAAATTCCCCAGATTCTCATAAATTCGGATGAGTTCCTACAAAAAAATTCCCCACATTTTTGGCAAAGAATTCCTAGGTGGTTTGCCCCTTGGTTAAAAGTGACCATCAACCCTTGAAATGACTTTTATCAATAAAGTTCCCAACGGGAAGATTGGCATGTTAGGCACTGAAACTTCAGAAAGGAAGAGAGGTTAGATAATCCTGAAGTCGCCAAAATAATTACCTATTTAGAAAATCTCTCAGAACCCAGTCGTTAGAGTAATAGCCTCTATCTTACGGAAAAAGGGGTATATTATACATATTTTGCACGGAAAGTAATACAGAGGAAACCCAGTTGGTAATTCCCATAAGTAAGCGAGCAGTAATATTGAAAAAGTATAACAGCATGTCATGACGGAATTGATCGAACTGTAGCGAAAATACGAGCCAGGTATGCGCAAGTATATTTCAAAATACATCAGGGGATGCGTAGAATGTCAAAAATTCAAACCTACCAACTTGAAGCCAGCTGGAAACTTCATTTATCAAATCCTGAAAGTTCCAAGCTGCTGGGATTTGAAGATTTACAAATAAAAATCCAAAAAAAAAAGTGCACACTCATAGATAATATTGCTATCATATTTTATCTCCAATAGCATTTGAGAAAATTGCTTATAATTTATACATAATTGGAATGAGAATCAAATACTCAGTACCGAAAAACAACAAAAAACATTCATTATCAATGATTAATTATGTTATTATCTATGACCTCCATATAAAAACCATCAATAATTATTATTTTACAGTTACAAAATACAATGGCCCCGCCTAATGACAACCTCGTCTGGGTATCACCCTTAAACAAGGAATTCATCAAACCCGGAGTGGACAAAAAGTGCCCTTGGAAGCCAACTTTGAACCAAACAGTACCGTCACCCCATACAAAACAAGACTGGTTAGTAACAAACAATCCAGCAATTTCATTATATAACCTCTTCAAACTTTTTAGGAAGCAAAAATACCCAAAAGGAGTTTTTCCAGATGTTTTATCAATGATTGGTAATACTCCTTTAGTGAAACTGAACAGTATACCTCAAAAGGCTGGATTGGAGTGCAATATTTGTATGTAATTTAAAAAATATATATATATAATATTTACATAATTTCATTGTAGATGCAAAATGCGAATTTGTTAATCCAGGCGGCTCAATAAAAGACCGCATGGTCCGTAGAATGTTCGAAGATGCAGAAAACCAAGGCCTCATCAAACCTGGAATGACTATCATAGAGCCTTCATCTGGCAACACTGGCATTGCAGTTGCTTTGGTGTCAGCCTTAAAAGGCTACAAATGCATTATTGTAATGTCTGAAAAAATATCTGAAGAAAAAGAGGCTGTTATTACGTCACTTGGTGCCAAAGTAGTACGATGTCCAGTTAATCAAAGCTCATTTGATAAAGGAGGTCTTTTTGGTACTGCTAGCAGGTTGAAACAAGAAACACCTAACTCGTTTATTTTTGATCAAGTAAGTCACATGTTTAATGTCATTTTTGAAATTAATCAATTGATTATTATAGTTTAATCATCCTGGAAATCCATTGACCCACTATGACACAACTGCCAACGAAATCCTGGAACAACTAGACAACAAAGTGGACATGTTGGTTTTCGGAGGTGGTACCGGCGGTACTGTTACAGGAATGGGCAGAAAGTTCCGTGAAGTTTCACCCCAAACAAAAATAGTCGGGTTTGATCCAGAAGGTTCTAGTTTTGCTTATCCGGCAAGTTTGAATAAAAGTGATGTAACGTTTTGGGAAATAGAAGGTATCGGGTACGAGTTTGTTCCTGGTACTCTAGACCAATTGGTGTGTGATTATTGGGTCAAAACTAATGACGTAGAGTCTTTGCAAATGGGTAGGAGGCTAATGAAGGAGGAAGGGCTGCTTGTAGGTGAGGAATTTTGGATTTTATGTGTTATTGATTTGACATATAAGTGCGAAAAAAGCCTTTTACAGGCAGTTTTAGAAAAATATTGACAGGTGTCAAAAATTGAATTCAATTTTGACACCTGTCAAAAATTTCCTGTTAAAAGAGCTACGATTTTATTTCAATGAATATGATAACATAATCATCTGTGACTAAAACCATCAATAGAATTTAATTTTGACAGGTAATAATTTTTTCACAACCTCACTTGACATCTTTTCATTGAATTCAACTTTGACACCTGTCAAAAATTCCCTGTTAAAAGAGCTACGATTTTATTTCAATGAATATGACAAATAATCATCTGTGACTGTAACCCATCAATAGAATTTTATTTTGACAGGTAATAATTTTTTTACAAACTCACTGAACATTTTTTCATTGAATTCAACTTTGACAGCTGTCAAAAATTCCTTGTTAAAAGAGCTACGATTTTATTTTAATGAATATGACAAAAATTCATTAACATAATCATCTGTGACCGTAACCATCAATAGAAGTTTATTTTGACAGGTAATATTTCTTTTACAAACTTACTGAACATTTTTTCATTGAATTCAACTTTGACATCTGTCAAAAATTCCCTGTTAAAAGAGCTACGATTTTATTTCAATGAATATAATAACATAATCATCTGTGACTAAAACCATCAATAGAATTTAATTTTGACAGGTAATAATTTTTTTACAACCTCACTGGACATCTTTTCATTGAATTCAACTTTGACACCTGTCAAAAATTTCCTAATTAAAGAACTATCATTTTATTTCAATGAATATGACAAAATTTTGAAACTTCATTAACATTATCATCTGTAACTGTCAATTTTTTTCTGACAAAATATTTAGTCATCAAGTTGTCAAATTCCATTGTAACAGCTGTCAAAATTTGTTTGACATAAAATCATTTGACTGTCAAATAAAATCAACTGGAAACCGATATTTGACCAAATTATATTGTTTTTTTATGAAACGTTGTACTTTGACAGGCTGTCAAAAATATGCCAATTTTTTGTGCAACTTCAAACTTTCAAAAATCATAATTTGAAGTTTTGCCAACAAGATAAAACAAATTTGAAGTCGATATTTGGTTCAGGAGCAAAGTTATGACATTTTTTCTAATTCAACTACCCAAATTCCTTAAAAAATTGTACTTTGACAGGCTGTCAAAGATATGCCAATTTTTTGTGCAACTTCAAACTTTCAAAAATCATAATTTGAAGTTTTCCCAATAAGATAAAATAATTTTGAAGTCGATATTTGGTTCAGAAGCAAAGTTATGACATTTTTGCTAATTCGATTCCCAAAAATTCATAAAAAACTGTACTTTGACAGGCTGTCAAAAATATGCCAATTTTTTGTGCAACTTCAAACTTTCAAAAATCATAATTTGAAGTTTTTCCAATAAGATAAAATAATTTTGAAGTCGATATTTGGTTCAGAAGCAAAGTTATGACATTTTTGCTAATTCGATTCCCAAAAATTCATAAAAAACTGTACTTTGACTGGCTGTCAAAAATATGCCAATTCTTTGTGCAACTTCAAACTTTCAAAAATCATAATTTGAAGTTTTCCCAATAAGATAAAACAATTTTGAATTCGATATTTGGTTCAAAAGCAAAGTTATGACATTTTTGCTAATTCGATTCCTAAAATTCCATGGAAAATTGTACTTTGACAGGCTGTCAAAAATATGCCAATTTTTTGTGCAACTTCAAACTTTCAAAAATCATAATTTGAAGTTTTCCCAATAAGATAAAATAATTTTGAAGTCGATATTTGGTTCAGAAGCAAAGTTATGACATTTTTGCTAATTCGATTCCCAAAAATTCATGGAAAACTGTAATTTGACAGGCTGTCAAAAATATGCCAATTTTTTGTGCAACTTCAAACTTTCAAAAATCATAATTTGAAGTTTTTCCAATAAGATAAAATAATTTTGAAGTCGATATTTGGCTCAGAAGCAAAATTATGACATTTTTTCTAACTTAACTAAAAAAATTCGATACAAAATTGTAATTTGACAGGCTGTCAAAAATATGCCAATTTTTTGTGCAACTTCAAACTTTCAAAAATCATAATTTGAAGTTTTTCCAATAAGATAAAATAATTTTGAAGTCGATATTTGGCTCAGAAGCAAAATTATGACATTTTTTCTAACTTAACTAAAAAAATTCGATACAAAATTGTAATTTGACAGGCTGTCAAAAATATGCCAATTTTTTGTGCAACTTCAAACTTTCAAAAATCATAATTTGAAGTTTTCCCAATAAGATAAAATAATTTTGAAGTCGATATTTGGTTCAGAAGCAAAGTTATGACATTTTTGCTAATTCGATTCCCAAAAATTCATGGAAAACTGTAATTTGACAGGCTGTCAAAAATATGCCAATTTTTTGTGCAACTTCAAACTTTCAAAAATCATAATTTGAAGTTTTTCCAATAAGATAAAATAATTTTGAAGTCGATATTTGGCTCAGAAGCAAAATTATGACATTTTTTCTAACTTAACTAAAAAAATTCGATACAAAATTGTAATTTGACAGGCTGTCAAAAATATGCCAATTTTTTGTGCAACTTCAAACTTTCAAAAATCATAATTTGAAGTTTTTCCAATAAGATAAAATAATTTTGAAGTCGATATTTGGCTCAGAAGCAAAATTATGACATTTTTTCTAACTTAACTAAAAAAATTCGATACAAAATTGTAATTTGACAGGCTGTCAAAAATATGCCAATTTTTTGTGCAACTTCAAACTTTCAAAAATCATAATTTGAAGTTTTTCCAATAAGATAAAATAATTTTGAAGTCGATATTTGGCTCAGAAGCAAAATTATGACATTTTTTCTAACTTAACTAAAAAAATTCGATACAAAATTGTAATTTGACAGGCTGTCAAAAATATGCCAATTTTTTGTGCAACTTCAAACTTTCAAAAATCATAATTTGAAGTTTTCCCAATAAGATAAAATAATTTTGAAGTCGATATTTGGTTCAGAAGCAAAGTTATGACATTTTTGCTAATTCGATTCCCAAAAATTCATGGAAAACTGTAATTTGACAGGCTGTCAAAAATATGCCAATTTTTTGTGCAACTTCAAACTTTCAAAAATCATAATTTGAAGTTTTTCCAATAAGATAAAATAATTTTGAAGTCGATATTTGGCTCAGAAGCAAAATTATGACATTTTTTCTAACTTAACTAAAAAAATTCGATACAAAATTGTAATTTGACAGGCTGTCAAAAATATGCCAATTTTTTGTGCAACTTCAAACTTTCAAAAATCATAATTTGAAGTTTTTCCAATAAGATAAAATAATTTTGAAGTCGATATTTGGCTCAGAAGCAAAATTATGACATTTTTTCTAACTTAACTAAAAAAATTCGATACAAAATTGTAATTTGACAGGCTGTCAAAAATATGCCAATTTTTTGTGCAACTTCAAACTTTCAAAAATCATAATTTGAAGTTTTCCCAATAAGATAAAATAATTTTGAAGTCGATATTTGGTTCAGAAGCAAAGTTATGACATTTTTGCTAATTCGATTCCCAAAAATTCATGGAAAACTGTAATTTGACAGGCTGTCAAAAATATGCCAATTTTTTGTGCAACTTCAAACTTTCAAAAATCATAATTTGAAGTTTTTCCAATAAGATAAAATAATTTTGAAGTCGATATTTGGCTCAGAAGCAAAATTATGACATTTTTTCTAACTTAACTAAAAAAATTCGATACAAAATTGTAATTTGACAGGCTGTCAAAAACTTTCAAAAATCATAATTTGAAGTTTTCCTAATAAGCTAAAACAAATTTGAAGTCGATATTTGATTCAGAAGCAAAGTTATGACATTTTTTCTAATTCGACTCCCAAAATTCTATTGAAAATTGTAATTTGACAGGCTGTCAAAAATATGCCAATTTTTTGTGCAATCTCAAAGTTTCAAAAATCATAATTTGAAGTTTTCTCAATAAGATAAAACAAATTTGAAGTCGATATTTGATTCAGAAGCAAAGTTATGACATTTTTTCTAATTCGACTCCCAAAATTCCATGGAAAATTGTACTTTGACAGGGTGTCAAAAATATGCCAATTTTTTGTGCAACTTTAAACTTCCAAAAATCATAATTTGAAGTTTTCCCAATAAGATGAAACAAATTTGAAGTCGATATTTGGTTTAGAAGCAAAGTTATGACATTTTTTCTAACAACTCCAAAAATTCTATAGAAAAGTGTAATTTGATAGGCTGTCAAAATTATGTCAATTTTTTGTGCAACTTCAAACTTTCAAAAATCATAATTTGAAGTTTTCCCAATAAGATGAAACAAATTTGAAGTCGATATTTGGTTCAGAAGCAAAGTTATGACATTTTTTCTAACTTAACTCCAAAAATTCCATGGAAAATTGTATTTTGACAGGCTATCAAAAATATGCCAATTTTTTTTTGCAACTTCAAACATCATAATTTAAAGTTTTCTAAATAAGATATGGAACAAATTTGAAGTAGATATTTGGTTCAGAAGCAAAGTTATGACATTTTTTCTAATTCAACTCCCAAAATTCCATGGAAAATTGTACTTTGACAGGCTGTCAAAAATATGTCAATTTTTTTGTGCAACTTCAAACTTTCGAAAATCATAATTTAAAGTTTTCTAAATAGGATGGAACAAATTTGAAGTCGATATTTGGTTCAGAAGCAAAGTTATGACATTTTTTCTAATTCAACTCTCAAAATTCCATGGAAAATTGTACTTTGACAGGCTGTCAAAAATATGTCAATTTTTTGTGCAACTTCAAACTTTCAAAAATTATAACTTGAAGTTCTGTGAATAAGATAAAATAAATTTGAAGTCGATATTTGGCTTAGAAGCAAAGTTATGACATTTTTTCTAATTTTTTCCAATTTTTCATGAAATTTTCTCAGTTGAATTTGAAAAACTGTCATAACTTTGCTTCTGAAGCAAATATCGACTTCAAATTTGTTTTATGTTACTGAAAAAACTTCAAATTATGATTTTTGAAAGTTTGAAGTTGCACAAGAAATTGGCATATTTTTGACAGCCTGTCAAAGAACAATTTTCCATGAAATTTTTTGAGCTGAATTAGAAAAAATGGCATAACTTTTGCTTTTATTAGGAAAACTTCAAATTATGAATCAACTTATTGTCTGGCCAGGGAATCTGAAGCTACAAAAGGAATTTGGACTGAAATGTGCGATGTTGCCAGGTTTAATGTTAATGAAGCGAAACTCCTAAAATTTAAATCCATTTTTAAAACACAAAATATCGATAATTAAGAAATCTATATTCTTATAACTGATTTCTGTCAATTTGGCCGTAGCTTCAGATTTGTTGGCCAGACAATACAAACACAGTGGTTGATTTTTTGGGATTTTTGTATTGAAATCTTAGTTTATACTACTTACATTTACTCCATTTTGAGGAAATGTTGAAAACTCCTCACTTTTGAAAAACTTCAAAAAACAACGTATTTTCCTCATACTTATAATATGATTCTCCACAAACTCCTTAATAAAAATGATTAATGAATATCTACCAAGATTCACAAAGACGGCCATGATACAAGCCAAACATAAATATACGTAAAATAAATATTTACAAAAGAAGATTAAACAGGTATAAAAAATATAAACATAGTAGAATATTCCATATATTCCATTTATGAAAATTCTAGTAAATAGTTTTAGGATCGGTTTTTTTAATCTTCAGATAAACTTGCTGGTAGCTATCTACAAGATAAATTCACCGTACTGGTGAGTTTCTAAGCTCAACTTTTGAATATTTTAGTTATTTTTGAGGACCTCATAAGCGTCTTAATCTGGTTCTCAAGTTTCTTAACTTGACTTAGGGTTAAACATTGCTATTAAGGAAATTTGAAGATTGAAGTTTGAGGAGCAATTTCCAACTTATTTTGACTCTGGAAACTTAATTTTTGAGTACTTTAGTTACTTAACTTGAATATTTTAAACAAAATTTCTTATACTGATAGGTATGAGTGCTGGGTCAGCGGTTTCAGCAGCAATAAAAGCGGCCAAAGATCTAAAAAAAGGCCAAAACGTCGTCGTTTTTATGCCGGACAGCATCAGAAACTACATGACCAAATTCGTATCGGACCGCTGGATGGAAGCCAAAGGCTACCAACCTTGTGAAAATAAAAACAACTTGTGGTGGTGGGACAAACTAGTCTCAAGTATTAAGTTGAGAAGTCCAGAGTTGGTCCAGGGAAGTGATTCTTTGGAGGTTGTTTTAGGACGTTTGCAAGCGAAAAATTCTCAAGAAGCTGTTGTAATGCAATCAAATGGGTAAGAAATTATTTATTCACAATCTGTAGTCCAAAGGTACAGGTGAAATTTATCACCTTTCAATGCTATTTGATAGGGAAAAGTGATAAATTTACCTGTACCTTTGGATTACAGATTGTAAATAGGATATAACATGTGTTGAAATATTTTTAAAATTTTTCAGGAGTATGTTAGGCACAGTGACAATCCAAACGGTTAGAAACAAGCTTATTTCAGGCATGTTGCAGCCTGGTGACCAAGTGGAACGTTGTACCACTAGGATTTTGCCCAAATTGGATGACAAGGCGACATTGGGGCGGGCTTTTAGGGTTATTGAAGGCGATAAGTTTGCAGTTGTAATAGAAACCCATGGTGTTGGTAAAGATAAGGTTGAGAAACCTTTGGGGGTGCTTTATGGTGAAGATTTGTACGACTTTATTGCTAAGGGACAATAACTTTGTTTATAATAATATAACAAAGGGCTAATAATTAATTGAAGATTACTCAGTTTTCCATATGAAAATTATAAACATTTAAAATGACTAATACTAAAATATGTTATGTAAATTGTATATAAAATTGTGATAACATTAAGTGTTTTCAAAAGATTACTGAGGATTGGTTTATAAGTGGACGGTTATCTAGTTTAGCTGACACTTAACTAATAATAGTTACTAACTGAATATAACCGTCCACTGAAAAACCGATCTTAAGAGTCATAGTTTAAAATTACTTTTCTGTATTCCATTCTATATGTGTTTTAAAATTAAATGAAGATTATCATTGTAAGTGTGTTTTCTTAATTAATTTAGTGGGTCAATTTTAAAGTTTAAAAATTCCAACATTTGTTAATTTCAATCCGATCTTAACCTAATTAGGCTCAGATTTGAGATCCGGTAATCATCAGATAATTACAATAGAGACAAAACCACTTTAATCTGTCCTTTTGGGACGTTTCGTTGTACACGAATGCCGTTTGGTTTACGAAATGCACCCTCGACGTTCCAAAGGCTGATTGACAGATTCCGTTCTGGCCTTCAGGATCTGAACATACTTGCATATCTTGATAATCTGGATCATTTTGTCAGAATCGTTCGAATCTTATGTGAAGCATCTACAGCAAGTATTTGTTCTATGTACATACAATTTTTTCCAAAATGACACATTTTACCTCACAACTTTGTTTATTTCAATCCGATCTTAACGTAATTAGGCTTCAGTTGAAGCTAATTAAATTTTCTTTCTTTTTTTGGAGAAATGTAAAAGGAAACATAAAATCAAGGACAAGAACCTGGAATAAACAAAATTCCCTCTTTTTTCATTCCAAGCTCTTGGATATTTTCTTTTTTTGGAAGGAAACATGGAACCCAAGAACCTGGAAGAGACAGAAATTATATTCAAATTTGTATTGTTTTACATAAAAAATTGTCCAGTTGTTCTGTGGGAACCAAGTTTGGGAAGGTAGAATACGTTACAATCTTCATAGAGCCTCGGTTATCCGATGTAACGTGAGGGGATAACTGAAAACTCAGATAATCCGGATGTACAGTTGCGATCAAAAAAAAGTAGTACAAGAAAAATCTCCAAAATCTCCTGGTCTATTATACATTAATTCAATTCATAACCAAAAATGACATATTTTTGGCATTTTTCGACAAGTTTTCAACCTAGAAAGCTTCAGATGACATCATTTTGACATTTTTCCACCCGTTTTTAACCTAGAATATGTCATTGCCTGTCAAAATTTTGTATGTTACACCGGGAGCTCAAATTGGGGTTAATAATTTTTGTAGGTACTACTTTTTTTTGATCGCAACTGTACATATATGTACTTATAATGTAATAAAAGTTACCGAAAGCTTTTAAAAGTAAAAAGAGACTCTTATTGATGCCTTAGAAACTGTAAAAGAATTCAAAACTTGGCTGCAACCCAATAAACTTCAATTTTTTATGTACCTACTTATATGTATATATATATTTTAGAAACTCGGTTAATACGGAGTATGGACGTGCGTATCTCGGATCATCAGGATTTTTGGGGAACTCGAATAATTGGGGTTCTACTTATTTTCAATTGAATCTTGAATCGAAATACAAAATCTAACAATACATAAATACATATCACAACGATTTTGAATAAAATAATTGTTTCCAGGGTTATGCAAAAGCCCTAGCAGGTAATTTCTGTTCTCCAGTGCATAGAAAGTACCTGCTAGGTAACAACCAGACGTTTACCAGTCAGTCCATAATTTGGCCCTTAGGAAAAGGCGACCCACTGGTGGGTTGTTTTAGGACAATTTTGGATTTTTGCAAATTTAAAAATGCCGCGCTTTGCCAAGTTTGAACACTTTAGAACTTCAATAAGCCATTTAGAACATTTTCCAGTGATATTTTGAACAATTTAAAACCGCAGAGAGCCTAGCGCCTGGAATAGACAAAAGTTTAAAGTTATAATCAAGGTCTGTTCCAAAACTGCCCCAAAAGAACGATTTTCGGATTCTAGACTTTGCGCAGAATCAGTAGCGTATCAACCCAGCTCCGGGCCAAAGGCTAAATTTTTTTTTGAGTAACCCAAACTAACCCAAATTTCGATCGTTCAAAAAACACTCCTAAAATTTTTTATTACGTATTTTTATTTAAACGTTGAATTGTGAATTCACCATTTTCAAAAGTGATATGAATAATTATATCCTGTTCACAATCCGATGTCCACAGGTGCAGGTAAATTTATCACCATAGGCGCAACTTGGGGAATGCTTGGGGGTGCTAAGCACCCCTAAAGCAAAAATTAGCACTCCTATTCGGTATCCCACCATAGCACTACCTAACACTTATATAAAAAATTAGTGCAACCAAATTATTTTATGTATTTTTTTGCACTTTTTGTACTTACTTACGTCATCGATGACGTCATAATTTAGAAAAAAGTATTTGTCGTTGATTAATTCATAAAGCACGTTCGCAATTATTGTTAAAATCAAGACTTATTACCTCAAAATATACGGTTTTTATCTTATATTAACATTTAGGATGACGTCATCGAACAAGGTCAGACAATGTTGTCAATGTCTATGTTTATTCCATATCTTAAGGTGACATTGAAATACCGGCTCTTAAAAAATCATTGGAGTCTAAGCCTGCCATACGTCCCGTATTATACGGGACAGTCCCTTATTTCAAGGTCCATGTCCCGCGTCCCCAAATTTGTTGTTGGGACGCGTAAATGTCCCGTATTTTCTGATATTTCAAAAAGCGTAAAATAATTCGATTTTTGCGTCTCAATCCCAGTCTCTGCGGAGGCATAAATAAATCGATTTTTGCGCTTCATCCCTAGTCTCAGCAAATCGCAACGTGGTGGTTCTTCTTCTTCTTCTTAACTGAATATTGGCTCTGCTCCACAAGGGGCAATTTGCCAGCACATTTGTTGGTATCCAGAGAACTGTCTGGCTCTAAGCCATGCTCCGGACGCTGTACTTTCAAGGTCTTCGAGATTTTACTGCTGCTATCTTTATCTGGTTTATGGAATTTATTTTCTTTCCTCCTGTGAGTTGAGGTTGTAAACACATAAAAGGATGACACAACACAGGTGGGGAGGATGTTTTTTTTTTTTTTTTTTTTTTTTTTTTTTCTAAAAAGGAAATTTTTTTGGGATATTTTTCATTTTTTATTTTTTTTTTTTTTTTTTTTTTTTTTTTTTTTTTTTTTTTTTTTTTTTTTTTTTTTTTTTTTTTTTTTTTTTTTTTTTTTAAGAATAGTCTTTTGTTCATGATATTGAGTGATTGTGGATGAGTGTGTTGCTGTTTCAATGTTTTTGGTTCGTTCAAAATTTTTGGAAGTGCTTACAAGTTTATTTTATTGTAATTGAGAAAGGAGACCAGACTTTTAATTGTGTTAGTGTTTAAATTTCTTAGTGCAGTAATCATTGAAAGAGGTGCCGGATGTCCGAACTCCATGATTTGCCAATACATGTCCACGTTTACTATTTTATTAATTGGGCATTCAAAGAAAATGTGATTTAAATCTTCGATCTGGCCGCATTCGCAATTTGGGGAGTCTTTTTTGCCTATTCTGTGCAGGTATTGGTTGGAAAGGAAGTGTCCGGTTCTCATTCTAGTTATTACAGTAATGTGTCGTCGATCTATGTAAGGGAATTTTTTAAACCATGTTGACCTAGGAAAGCTGTCCTGTACAAGGGCGTACCACTTGCCTTTTTGTTTGAGGGTGCTTTTCCAAGCCAACTCGTGCTCCTTCAAAATTTTTCCTTTGATGGAGGCCAAGATGTTATTTTTGTTTAGTGGAAGGTTTTTTGGAACCTGAAGTTTTCTTCCAATATAAGCCAACTTGTCAACTGTTTCATTGCCAGGGATTCCCGCGTGACTGGGAATCCATGCCAGTTTAATGTCATAGCCTGTTTCATATGTTGCAATCAATAACGCTTTGGCTCTGAGGGCCAGGCTACTCATATCCGGATTCATGAAGTTTTGATTGAGGATGTCTATTGCGCTTTTAGAGTCTGTGAATATGATTGCTTTTTTGATGTTTCTTTTGACTGTGAATATGATGGCTTCTTGTATGGCTACTATTTCAGCTGAGCAGATGTCGAACCCATCTGGCAGTCTGCAGCTGAAGTTATGTTTTAAGGAGGGACAGTGTATTCCAAAACCAGCTTCATGATCCTTTTTTGATCCGTCAGTATATATGAAAATATAATCTTTTCTAAACTTTTCTGTGTTGGCCATGAATTTAGTTTTTGCAGAAAGATCCCTTTTCCCAATATTGACGTTGATGGTGCGGATATTCCTTATTTGGGTTTCGTATTTTATATTGTAGCATGGCCAAATATCAATTTTTTCTATTTTGTTCCTGTAAGGGAAAAAGTAGTTAAAAGCTTGGACCAGGTAGGGTATGTCCTTTCTTCTCCAGTAATTTGCATTATTCATGTAATGGATTTTGATAGCTTTGATCAATGGGATGATGGGGTGTTGATGAATGTTAACTGATTTGGTGAAAAACTTAATTCCCAACCACAACTGCCTGAAATTGAACTCCATTTGATTGGATTCTGCTAAGAGTGCGTTTGTTGGAGTAGATTTGGTGCATCCAAGGACTATTCTCAGTGAGTTGTATTGAACGGTTTTGATTTTGTTAAAGTTTTTTTTGTTCAGGTTGAGGAGAAATGCCCCGTATTCTAAATGGGACATAACAATTGCGGAGTGTATGTTTAGCAGAGTCTGGGGGTCTGCCCCCCACCACACTTTGCCAAAGGTTTTCAAAATATTGATGCCTTTCCCGGCTTTTTGAGTGACATATTCGATGTGTTTATTCCAGTTAAGTTGACTATCTATTATCATACCCAAGTATTTAATGGAATCTGAAAAAGCTAAGTGTTGATGTTGAATAGTTATTGGAGGGAAAACCCCGTTCCTTTTGCCTTTGGTAAAGAGCATTGGCTCGCACTTTGTTGGGGATAATGTAAGTTCATTATTTGTGAGCCAAATATTTATTTTTTCTAGAGCTGCATTCATCTTGTTTATGAGAATGGGAATATTTTTTCCTTTTGTAAAAATGGCGATGTCATCTGCATATGCCATAGTGATTATTTCCCTGTCCAATACTTCAAAGATGTCCTTCATGTATATGTTGAATAGAATTGTGCTAAGTGGTGAGCCTTGAGGGAGTCCTTTGGATGCATGTACTGGTCCAATTATGTCGTTTTGGATGCTTCTGATGTAGAGGTGTCTATTATTTAATATTTTGAATATGGTGTTGCAGGTTTCTAGGGGAATATT